AACTAGTTTTTCATTAAAAATATAACTTAAAATTAAAAATTAAAAAAAAATTGAGAAAACTTAAAAAATTGAGATTGATGCTTGTCAAAGATAAAGACCAATATATATCTTGAGGGTGTGGCCTAAAGATAAAGACCAAAAGGAGCCCTGTTTCAGCTATCTAGGTTCCTTTCAGAAGAGTTGAAAGTTTGGACTGTACACTACCACAAATCTTTGAAAGATCTACAATGCTGAGAAAAGAGGTATGCATAATTTCTGTCCGCAAATCCCATTTTTTTTCCATTGTCAGTTTGTTGGAATATGGTGAGACTTGAGAGGAAGACTAAACGAGTATTAAAGTGATTAATACCTTATTTCGATTAATTGGTTGATCTTTGAAAGATCGAACCATTTATTATCCACTACTATTTTGTCTAAAATGAAGAGTTATGGAAGAGTCATTTTACAGGAAATAGTTGAAAATACCCCCAAGGCTATCATTTGACCCTCACTTCTGTTGTGTATGACCTTTTGCTGATCCTGATCATCAAACCTCTTGCGTTTATACAGGATATATAGTCAATAAACACCAAATCAATATGTCATTTAATTTAATTTTTATAATTATTGTGTACTATCATAAATATTCTCATAAGTTCTTAAATTTTATTATGGAGAGGTCAGTGGTAATTTTATTAATCTTAAGCATGAATTGAAACTAGATTATGGAGAATCGCTATTTGATATGACATATCTTATACCAAGTGTTAAAGTTATTAACAATACTGTTGTCTATCTCAGTTTCAACGCTATACCCACCATCAAAAAAGAGAGATACCTTGTTTATAGTTGAATCTAAGAGGCCCAATAGCATCAGAATTATTCAGATGGATGATCAATTATGATGTTGTTGGGCCTATTTTAGACCATATTTATTATCCTTAAATGTATTTTGTTAGTTATCTAATTTAATTTAATTATATGTTTATTTTTGTTTTTGGTGAATAAATTTGGAAGGATAGAGAATAAGAGAAAAGTCTTTTAATTCAAGTCTTTAATATCCAAGGAGATATTAAAGCCCAAAGAGCTAAAGGAGAGAGGAATAAAATAAGGGGGTAACATGTAATTTTATTTAGCTGTATATGACCATCTCAACCCATTGCACTAAATTGGTGTGATTTTTAGTGTAAAATACTATTGTATCTCCAACCCAATGTACCAAATATTATACCAAAAAGAATATTCTTTAGAATATTCTTTTTTTTAATCGTAATAATCAACAATTAATCTATTTCACTCATTATTTTTATATATGTTAATTAAATATTGGGAATTATATTTTTATTAAATAATAATTACTTTGAAAATTATACTAATTTAATAAAATTAAGCATTCATTTAATTAAATAAACATTATATTTAATATAGAAAAACATTACATCTAATATAAAATGATACCAAAATAATAATAATAAGAATAAGAATAAAAACAACAACAACACAAAAGTAAAATTTCATATTGATAGTAATTTAATTTTCCGAATTAGTATGTTCTTCCCACAAATGATCAATTAATGTATTTCAAAGAGCATTGTGAGCTTCTGTATCCTTGATTTGTCTATGTCGAGCAAGAAAATTTTGAAATGGGACATTTTCATCTGTGACAATTTCAACTTCGAGAGTTGGCGCTTCCATCTGATTTTCAATCGATGCATCAACATTACAATCATCTTCGATTATCATGTTGTGCATAATAATACACGTAGTCATTATATCATGTAATATATTTTTATCCATTCAAGCTTTTTAGGTTTAGTGTTTTTAAATTAGTGTTAATTTTTATTTTGAGTTATTGTAGTTTAATATTTGTATTGAATAAAGTTTTGTCTTTAATTTTTCATTATTTTTTTAATTATATCATTATTATGAATTTATTATTATAACAAAAAAAAAAAAAATTGGCTGAATAAACAGTACCACGCCAATATGGTGTGGATGACTGTTCATCTGCACCAAATTGGTGCATCAAATGGCGCTGCATTGGAGCAGCATTTCACGCCATTTTGGTGTTTTTTACACCAAAATGGTGTGGGTTGGAGATGCCCTAAGCGACCGTAGCGTGAAAGTAAGGTTAATTAATGGCATAGGCTAACGCTGGAAAAAAAAAAAAAAAAAGGAAAACAGAACCGAACAAAAAATTAAACCAAAAAATCAAAATTTTCCACCCGTACTATGGCCAAAGTTGTTATTTGGATAGAATATGGAATTGCTTCCTAAGCCATTTTTTTTTAATTTTTTTTTAACCGAGGTAATTCAGGTTGGTTTACGCGCATCTCAATTAATCTTCCAAAAATCTAGAACTACCGACCAGGTTAGAGTTTTAATGACTATCCCTATTAGTAATCGATGAGAGATTCGAACTCAAAACCTCTTGAGTAATACACTCAAAAGTCTTTATCAAATCACTCAATCACCTAGAGGTGGTTTACTAAGTCAAATTTACTTAGAAGCCAAGTTTTATAAAGGAAAAGATTTTCTTTTACCCTAACTTATTTGAAAGCTTATTTTCAACACAATTTAGGGAGAGGAGTTGCATCTTGGAGGATTGAAGACTTGGTGATAGAGGCTTATTAGCACACCACTTCGGTTTTTTTTGTTTTTTGTTTTTTTTTTTAATAATTTTTTACATTGTCTTTCTAATCTCTTAGAATGAGAGTTGATGAAACCTATGTTTAATGATTAATTTTTTAATAATATGGTTTGATTCATTTATATGTGCATTATAAGTAAAAGATCGTTGTTCTTGCTTCTTATTTAATTAGATATATTCTTTCATCTAAATGTCACATATTATTGATAGTTAGGATTGTTTAATTAATTAAACCATGTAAATGCATTTTTATTAAATTTTCTTTGATTTATTGTTTTTCATTGAATTGGATACATTGAATGTGTAGAAATTATACCATAGATTGAAGAGGAACTGACATTAGGTTTATTGAATAATGCCTAATTGAAAATCCATACAAGACAGTAGATTAATTGCTTAATTGTTCGTTAACTAAAATTGAGATTTAATTTAATAATATATATTTAATTTAGTTCATTTATTTTTACATTATTTTATCAATCCTGTGGGCTCGACCTCGTATACCTCTAGATTTATACTCCAATAAATTCTTGCGCTTGTGAATTTTATTGAAAACAACAATAGATGTCATCTTGAATGTTCTTGAAATCTTCAAATTGGACAGTTTTCGAATCTGGAAAACACATTTGTCTTTTTTATATATACAATTTGTTAAGAAGGAAAAGTTGATTAGAGAAAAAAATCCCACTAAACAAAGAAATGGACTTGTTTTCCAATTGCTTCTCCAAAACGAACAAATAAACTATATTGAAACCCATGTAGGAACCCTAAACCTAGTATCTAAACCTCAACAAGTTATGTTAATTGGAGATGTGTATGTGGAAGATCTAAAAATTATAGTGTACCTGAGAGATTGAAAGACACAGAATATATAATAATATATGCTTAGAAAAGTAAAAGGATGCAATACTTAATTTAAGAAGGAATATTATAAGTTAAAATAACTGCGTCTCAAGCACTCAAGAATCTGATTAAGTTCTAAAATGTAAAGATATTAAGTTTACAACTCAATCTTATAATTTTTTCTTATAACTCTAACGTGGACGTCAACAAATGATTTTGGTTAAATATGAATAACCGTTCCTTAAAGACAAACAAGAATGACCATTTGTCTTTAAGAAACAATCATTCGTATTTAGTCAAAATTATTTAATGTTTTAAATGTGGTGAAAGCTGATGTGATATTTATCAACTTAATTACCATATTTGAGTTGTAAGAGAAAATTTTGAAATTAAGTTGTGAGCGAAATATAAATCTTTGGAATGATAAAAGTGTCATTCGTGAAGCTTAACTTGTAAAAGACTTGCAACATGATTTTCGAGCTTACTCAGCATTCCATTTAGGTTTAATAATGGTGAGCTGTCCAAGTTGTTTTTGCTCTACTGTAAGCTTGATATAAGAGAATGCCTCCTTTAGTAAAAGAATTTCAAACTTCATAATTATTTCATTTATCTTAAAATTGAATATTTTAATTAATTTTCCTCAATAATAGTGCTGTACACTATTTGAAATCGTTCAGTTAATAAAAACTTCCCTCAATTGAAGTTTATTCCACTTGGTATTAGAGCATTTTGACAACGTCTTCTAGTCATAGAAAATTTTCATTCATTTTCTCACCTTCCAAACACTGATGAGAAAATTTCTTCCGTTTTTTAGAACTCTGCAAATTTTGCAATCTGATAAATTCGTTTTTATAACTCTTCCACAAATTAACTTAACTATTCTCATTCCTCTTTCTATAAAACTGAATTCTGACAATTATCGATATTGTAGTTCTCTTGTTCTCTCTACAATTCGCAACCATGAACTTGAGTCATTCTTACTTGGTTTAATGTAATGTCCATATCCATTTGCGATAATGAAGATCTTGAAGTCAGAAAAAGTATCAGATGATTCTATCAAAAACCTAATCCTGACTATGTTCAGCTGGCTATTGGCTTCTATCTCAGAGCTAAAGTATAGCTATATTTCTTGATATCAGACTTCGTCTTAAATTTGGATTACTCTGCGACAATTTCATCAAAATAGTTGTAAAGTTCAGTACACGTCATTTTAAACATCAATTACAAGCTATGAAGAAAGGATCACTGTCAATTAGTGAACTTTTATTTATGGTGATAAGCTGTTAGATTTTATCTTAGATGGATTAGATTTTGAAGCTGTTATTATGAATCTAACATCTCCAATGGTGTCAATTGCTTTACTGTTGATTTGCATTCTGGAAATTCGGTACAATTTGCTGCTGTAAATCCAGTATCTCAAAATACATTCTTCCTCAAGCTCATCTAATTGCAGCGAATAAGTTTGGATTATCGTCATTATGAGTATTCGTTGATTTGGTTATATGCTTTGTAATTGTGCTATGGCTTCTTAGTTATTCCAGCTCATCCAAGGATTCTTTCAAGTTTCTGACGAAGTATTTGGCAACTTTCTCTGGTGAAGATGCTTATACCATGGGTGAAGCCAAGGAGGAAGCTGTGCGCACAATTATAGAATTTGTAAAGGCACCTGACATGTTTCAGGTAAATATGAAGGGCTCACTGAATTTCTAAGATGAATGGCCTGATAGTTTCTTCACAACTATTAACTGCAGTTAAATTAAACTTTTCATGATCATGCACTAAATGTAGTTAGCAAATTTGAATGCATTTTGCATCCAACTGATCCTGTAATTTGTTCTTTTTGAGGGCATCTCTTCTTGCAATTTGCATGCATATATGCAGTTTCTTCAGTTATTGTTTGCCTTACCTAAAAAAGGTTTCTTGCTATGTAACTAATCTGTTCTGTTGCATTGCAGTGTGATTTATTAGACATGCCTGCAATAGGGCAATTAGAGAAGGATGCTAAATATGCATTGGTATATCAGCTTCTGAAGATCTTTCTGACACAGAGACTGGATGCCTATTTGGAATTTCAGACTGCAAATTCTACTTTACTGAAAAGCTATGGTAATAATTTCTTTGTTGTACTGTCATTTTCTAGTAATTGGATATTACATGAGCTACAATGTCTTCAAAATTAAAGTAAAAATAAGTATGCTTCTTCTTGGTGTAGGTCTTGTTCATGAAGACTGTATAACAAAGATGAGGTTGATGTCATTAGTGGATCTTGGTTCTAGTGGATCTGGCCAAATTCCTTATGCCCTTATCAGGGATACCCTAAGGGTAATCTTGCTTGCCTTTGTTTCTATGGATTTGCTGTAGTTTCTTTGTTGCTTATATTTGGGCATGTTTTATTGCAGATCAGTGAAGATGAGGTGGAAATGTGGGTGGTTAAGGCAATAACTGCCAAATTGATGGACTGCAAAATGGACCAAATGAATCAAGTTGTGATTGTGAGGTAAATTGTCCTGTTCTGTATCCCCTCTCTCACTCTACACAAATATACATGCATACATACCATTGATTCATTTTAATTTGCAACAATTTATTTCAGTAATATCCAGCAATTACTACAGCTAATATCCTTTGTTTTGGTTGTAACTTTCATTTGATCTGCAGCCGCTGTACTGAGCGTGTCTTTTCACAGCACCAGTGGCAAACTCTTAGAACAAAGCTTGCAACTTGGAGGGTAAGAATACCCACCAGTAATGCTATATGTTTTAACCTTTTTTCATTCAGTTATGCGTACCCTCTATGTTTCTTTTGTTGAGAAGAAAAAATGATAATTTATAAATATGTTGCCTCATATTTTGGACTTGAATGTTAAATGTTTGAAATAGAAATTTGACTTGTCCTTTACTTTTATATTAATTCAAAGGTGTCATGTTGAGCAACTAATGTTGTATTTCACTGGACTTAATTTACCAAGTTGGTTTTCTTTTCCTGAGTCAGTATTCAATAGAATTGATAGGAAAATCTCTAGAATGTTTCTATATTTTTATTGTTTTATTTTCAAAAATTAAGTTGTTTCCTTCTTTTGTTCTCATTTCCAGGGTAATATTGCAAACGTGATCAGCACTATTCAAACGAACAAGGTAACTGAAGAAGCGTCACAAGGAGTGCAAGGTTTAATGACTCGCTAGGCTGCTTTTTTATGTCGGATTTTTGATGGCCCCTGTTATTTAGAGATAGGTCAGACTATCATGTGCGGCTGAAGTATCATACTGAAATTTATATTTATTGAACATTAATTTTAGTGTATTGGAAATTTTGACAGAATGAGTCAAATCATATTTTGTTTATCATGCTACCTTAACTGGTTATGTTGTTTAAACTAGCAGAACCTGATATGGGTCCAAATTTTCATCTCTCTTTTTTTGCTCCATTTACGTACTTTTATAATTTGTTGACTTAGTTTTTTAATGAAACAAGAGGCTCGAGCTTGTTCAAAATCATCATTCAAGGCCATGAGAAATTGATTCAACCTTAACTTAACACGATAGTCATCAAACAGTTTTACATCAATTGCACATGTCCATTCAGGTTCTGATTCTGATAAAGCAATTTGGATTGGGTTTTATGGGTTTGTGTTTAGGCTGAATGGTTAGAAATAAAACAAAAGAAATCACTCCAAAGTGTACCTTCAAGTCTTCAACAATGGCGATTAAACAAGTAATTACCGCCAAAAGATAAGAAAGCAGCAAAGAAACACCGGAACAGGGAACCACCAAACAAAACCACCGGAATAATTGCTCATAATGATGTTTTTCGTGAGCCAACAAAACATAGTGAGGTTAATTGTCATCATCTGCAAAAGAGAGATTTACAACTTTCTTCTGTCAAACACTCATGATCAGCCAATTGATATCTTCGCCAAGCCTTTACCTTCTGGAAGTTTTCTTGACCGGGTTTCCAAACTCAAGTTATAGCTTCATTCCCTTTAAATATCCTCACCCTATATTTATCCCCCTCTCTTTCCTGTATCTATCTCTGTCTCTGTCTCCTACAGAAATAATGAACACAAAAGTTAAGCAGCAACACGAGCAGAAATCTGAATACAATGAAGAGCAACAACCACGATCAAAAGTTGAACTTCAACAGAAACAAATCTGGAGCAGCAAGAATTAAAGAAGCAGGAGGTAACAAACCACCATGGCGTCAAGGCGTGCAAAGCACTGTCCTAAAGATCATATTTCTGCCCCACTGGAAGGATCTTCTTTGTGCAAATGGCTCAGATGCGGACCGACCTCCAAGATACAATAGAATAAAAACACTGAAGCAAAATGAACTCTATCAAGTGGAAAAATTGTCTTTCTTTCGAAAGAGAATAAACACCCCTTTTTATACTTGACAATCTGCCTGTTGATTTATACATATAACAGCCATTTTAACTAAAAAATGAAACTGCCACTGACAGCCTGTTTGCCACCATTGAATTTATAACAGCCCAGGTTTTAATCCACAAAGCTCTTATATTAATATTAGAAACTTCCATGATTTGAATTGCAGTCATGAAGCAATAAGTCAAAACTGCAGTTGCTTTTAATTGTATAACAGTCTAAAAATTTAATTAAAAATTGATATTTTGACATACCATTTCCCAAATTAGCTTTATAACAGTATGAAGTTAGAGATGATAATGGCCAGTGATTGAGTTGAATTGTTAAAATTATCTTCGGTTTTACTGGTTTCTTAAACTTTGTATTTTGTCTATTGCTATAATTTACTTGTTCTAACCATAATATCGTTGAACCTGTCTCTCAAATTCAGTGGTTATAAAATATTATATCGTAAAAGTTCATCATCTAATTGGGAGGAGCACCGAACGAGTAACCAATGCATGCATCCGAGTGATGAATGAAGTGTTCTGAAACGCGTGTCGCGACATGTGTGTGATGAAGTTGTTCGTGACCTGTTTGGCGTGTAGTTTGGGCTGTATTTTTGTCTTAATAGTTTATAACACTCAGTTTAAACTTTCAATTGCCTGAGAAACGGGGCAGCTTAACGTAGGTGAATATCAAAGATGAGCCCTGAGATCAGCATTAATAAACATAGACATAATACCTTTATTTTAGAAACTATCAATCATACAGTTCATACTACACAACAATGGCAAGTTTATTTGTTTGAGGAGAAATGATCCATTAATACCTAGTTATCTTATTCCAGTTCCTATGCCCTTATCCATTCAATGAACTTCTTGAAAGTCTGGTTAGACAGACCACCTTCTTTGACACTTTTCAATGCAGATTCCTGGAGTTCCAAAGCTTTTGCTTTGAAATTTTCATCACCAAGCACTTGATCCACCTTGCTCTTAATTTCTTCTCGTATGATGATCCCACTTTCGTCATTGTTAAACTTCAATCCCACCTTCCAAATATCAGCAATGTAGCCCTCATTAATGAACTGGTCAGCAAAGTATGGCCAGCACAAGAAAGGAAGCCCATTGCTTACTCCTTCCATGGTGGAATTCCAACCACAATGGCTCATGAAACAGGCAATGGAAGGGTGACTCAGAACCTTCTGCTGAGGTGCCCAACCCACCATTTTCCCACGATTGGCTACCCTTCCTGTAAAGCCTTCTGGGTAGGCTTCATTTGCATCATCAGTAATATCTGGCCTCACAACCCATAAGAATGGCCTGTTGGTGAGTTCAAGTCCCAGCGCCAGCTCTTGGAATTGGATCTTGTCTAAAACTGTGAAGCTGCCAAATGCAACATAAATGACTGAGTTAGGTTGCTGTTGATCCAGCCATTTCAAGCAACTTGAGTCTTCTGGCCAGAAGTATCCCTCTGAATTTCCTTGTCTGTTGCTTGCTAAAAGAGGTCCAATTGGAAGAATTTTCGGAACCAAGTTGAAAGCTTCAGGCTCAAGCTCACACGTTGTGTTGCAAATCAGGTAGTCAGCTGTCATTTGTGTACCTTCTGTGCTCTTAACAATAAGTTCAAAAATCTTCCTCTGGGTGATTAAGTCGCCAATGTTCCAGATAAGATCTGCACTGCCGATTGTAGGCATGTTTGGTCCCAACTGTATCATATGTCGACTGTTCGTAGTTCCTGAAATAATTAAGGTGCTCAAGGAAATAAATAACTGCATGGCCTAACTACCTTTTATCAACGCAAAGCAAAATCAATTTCATCTGATGTTGAAAATCTAGTCTTACCATCTTTGTTAATGATTCCATCATCAATCATTTTGGGAATACGGTAGTACAAGGCCAGAGCCGCCACTCCTGTCGACAAAAACGCAGCCCGCTTAATTTTTAGTTTCTCTACTACTTGCAGGACCATTCCAACATGCACATCCGCAATAACAGAAGTGATCTTTTCATCTTCCTCTTTGTTGTTGAACTCTTGTATGAGCTCTTCCAGCTTCCCAGGCATCTCCTTTACAAGCGATTCACATAACTTGCCTAAATCATTTCTATCCTCCCAGGGTTCCAATCCATCTGGAATCGATACCAGGCCGATTTCTTCATCATCTCCTACATACTTCTTTTCCTGTAATGCTTTGATGATCCGCTTGTGAGTATGATCTGTGTTTACAAACGTGACCCTGAGGCCATGCTTCACTAAGCAATGTGAAAGCTCAAGGAAAGGAATTACATGGCCTTGTGCTGGAAAAGGTATTACCAGAACATGTGGACGACTCATTTTAATTTTCTGCTTTGTATGTTCTTATGAACAAATTAAACATTGGGTTCACATATATCATGTTGATTTCTGGTTCTATAAAGATTTGTGGAGTGGTCCTCAATGTTGAGATCGTGGCTTGTTTTCGTAATAGTTCCATATAAAAATTGAATGTTTTTAGGAAATCTATTTAATAATGAATATAATCGTTAATAAGAATAAAATTATGAGACTCATATTAAGGATTGAAATATGAATCCTATTAGAAATAAAATATCTTATATACCTATAAATATAGGGATTTATACATATAGGGATAAGGGTCTATAAATATATGGGCAAGAACAAATTTAAGATGTGAGAACATAAAGTATACTATAGGTAGAGTATTTTAGAAACTGGGGTTGTTTCCTACTAGATACTGGATTGAACGTGACTAAAAACTATAATTGTTTTCGTTTTGTCAATTATATATCGGATTTATGGTATTGTGTACTCTTGTATATCGTGATTATAAAACAATAATGAATTTCTCTCATCTATGGATAAAGACGGATTATGTCCAACTATGTAAATATGATGTTTATTTGTGTGATGTGATTTTTTTCTTTCTTTATTAATCTGCAATGTATATTTCCGCCCCCATATCCTAACACTCAAGTGATCTCATTGACAGTTTTGTTTTCATCTGCCGCACCGAATGATGATCAGTATAAACCTCCAGGTGCGTTTCTGCTGGTCTCTTATTGAGGCATCTGTGTAAATGGGTCCTGCTTTTGTCTTATCTTTCGACTTTTTTTTCTTTGTTTTCTGAATATACAGATGATTGAAAAATATGTGGTTTGAATTATTGTATCTTCGTGTATTATGGTATTTGGTTTGATATGACATAACAGATTGAGTGATTCGATACGTAAGAAGAGGATTAAATAGACAGGTGGACCTAGTCTCTGCAATTAAAATAATTTGAGGTGCTTACAGCCTGGTGCATTTGTCATCTCGATAATTAACTGGAATTGTGGGCATAAATTTGTGCTGGAGCAGGTTCAACAACTCTATTTTTTAATATTTCCTACGCGTTTTAGGTAATATGTAAGTCAATGAGATCAGATTCTGAAAGGCCGATTTGTTCTCTGCACGTGCCTCTTACCGATGATTATTCAGAAACCCAATTTGGCCATGGATGAGCTTAATTAATTATCTTTTTTAATGAATCTGGTCTGATATGCTATGTATACTTGTGCTGAGTGACCTGTTGGTCCTGTGGGTTTGGGCTGTAATTTTGTCTTTGTTCTTCTGCAGTATTCTTTCAGTTTCATTGCCTGGAAACAGGTTCAACCTCACGTAATTGATTGCATGTGAATGAAATGTCAGAAAATTTTCAAGAGTTAACTTCTCAATAAGCCTGTTAATGAAGCTTATAGACGGATGAAAAGAGATATAAGCTCTTGTGTGCAAAATAAAAACATGCTATTGTTCTTTTATTGTTTCATCGTTCATTCTTGTTATGCCTAAGAAATCAGGGCCGACGCAAACTCACGTCAGCAAGAACCAATCAAAGTTTAAGAAGGCTTTGTACTATCCAGGCGCCGCCACGTCGTCCAAGGACGAAAGGAGTAAGACTGTCATCGACCTGGCAGGTAAAGATTTGGTTTATGAGTGGCTAGGAGTCACCCACCTGTCTAAACCCTACGCAATTTGAGGATATCTCCCGTAGAATCAACCAAT